GATATGTATGCAAAATCAATTATCATAAATAAATAGCAATAATAATTTTTTAGTTAAATCATTTTAGGTGGCTTGTTAGTGGAAATAGAACATACTAAAGATTTAGGAGGGACTTGACATGAACTTCTAAATACAAGTGCAATAAAAAATAAATTTATTTTGTGTTCGAAAAAAGGAGTATGGTGTAAAAGTTAAACAATTACGTTTCACATGCTTTAATCATACTCCTCGTCATTATGCATCATGTGTAATGTCTCTTTGGCTAATGGTTATTCATGTACTCGCTACTTGATGGAGATTTCATGAACTTATTATAGGAAAGTCTATATGTTCCTCATAGTTATCATGAATGTAACCAAAAGCATCTTCAATAACCCTTGCTGGTGTTGGTGCATCTACTCTGACATCATCACTTACAACTGCTATCTTTATTGCTGACGGTGGATTAAACTCTTCATTATAACATATTTTCGATTACGGATTTTGGTGTCTACATAGAGAATTGCATACGATTGTTGCATGTTATGAACCTCTATTGAAGTATCTAATCTAAAAGTTTATGTTATAGAGAAGATGCGTTTTTATATTTTACTTTTAACAATTTTAAGGAACTTAACAACTTAGAGCATGAATATTGAGGGAAAGAGGGAAAGAGGGAAAGAGGTACACTAAGAATGTCTCCATTAGTATTTCATTTTAAAGACCATCTTCAATTTTATAAGAGCATCTTAAATAATTTGTATAAATAAAGAGTCAAACATTTACACAAGTCCAATAAGACTCTATATTTGCTCATTCATTATTTTGCTTTTTTCCCATAAACCATTATTATTCATCATTTTCTAGCCCTTGTTTGAGCCCCATTTTTGGGGGAGAAAATGAATTTTTGAATAGTATATTGATGAGAAATGTGTGATTAAAAAATAAGAAAAATTTTTAGATTTGCATATAATATTATTTTATTGAAGAATGTGTGGTTGAAATGATATTAAAACACTGTTTAAGAATGTATTTTTTTTTTGGAAATAATAAGGCTCAAACAAGGGCCTAATTTCTCTCCTTTTTATTTTATCACTTCCCACTTTTTTCTCTCTCTCTATTTTATAGAAATTGAAGAAAATGAATAGAAAAATGTGCAAATTCACTCTTTATTTTATATTATAGATAGTAAATTTGGCTCTCTACATTTGGAGAGTTAAATCCACTTTTTATTTATTTTTTAAAAGATAAATGGCGTACTTAACACCTCAAAAAAAGATTTGACTCTCTAAAATAGGAAAAAAACTAATAAAGAGAATATTGGAGAAGCTCTACTTCTACCTCTAGAATAATTAAAATAAAGATAAACATGTATATATAAACAAAATTACAATCTAGACACCCATAAATACAACAATAAGCCTCCATTTGGTAAATTTATAAATGATTTATAATTTTGAATAGTTAAGAAGAATAGTAGCTAATATCACAATTAATTGTGTCACTGATAATGAATAGTAACTATAAATATCCTATTGAAATTAATGTTTGATTGAATTTATAAATCAATTTATAACTTGTATTGGAGGCCAAATACACAAGATTGGTTAAATATATTAATTTTTTGACAAACAGTAACAAATGCAGACGTTTTGAGTTAACGAGGCACAATTGAACTTGCAAAAAATACTAATTTAATTTTATTTCAAATATCACCAAGTTTGTCATTCTTTTTTATCTCCAACATCATTTTCATTACTTTTATCTCAAATATTCCTTTCATTAACATTGTAATCATCAGAAGAAAACACATATTTACATTTAAATTATTTCTCTATCACAATTAATTCAAGTGACAAATACAAAAATCGCCCCAATCTTGAATGTTACATTATCAATTGCATTCCAGTCCAAACAAAGACAAAAATCACAGCAAAAATTCATTGCCATAAAATCGCAATACAAGATAGAAATTGGAGCATATAAGTGAATCACCATTTCCATTTCATAAAAAAATACAAAAAATTCATCAAAAAGAAGTAATTTCCAGAAGTATGAGACATATAACTTTTCATGAATGGATCTTTCACGTTCTTTAAAAATTAAAACTTCATCCAAAGCTTTCAGATTTTCCAGGCCCCGGTTATTCCGCTTCAAATCTGATTTCTTTTTCTTCCCTTTTTTTTCTTTTTTAAAAAAAAAAAAAAAAAAAAAAACTCAATTTTAAGTTGGTGGGTCACCTAACCCACCAGGACCCACTGTGGGTCCACCACAGCAGACAAGCAAATAATATTCTGGGGACCACCATAACCTAGTCCTTAAATTCTTCACAAACAGCAGGAATAGTCTTTGCATTTATTTTGATAGTTGCAGATGAGGTGAAAATCAATATTCTTGTTATACAGTATAAGAAATTCCACAGTACCTTAATTTTAATGATGCCGAAGGCAGACATGTATGAATAATCATATTCATGCATGCATATTTGTCAATATATACACATATATACAATACAGTGTATTTACAAAAAAGTCTTTTTGCTTAAAATTTTCAAACAGGATTCACATAGATGCCTCTGATATTCCTCAGTTTTTAGCTTATTCATGTGAGCTTTGAATAATTGTAAGACAAAGACATCAACGGCACTAATTATCTATTGGAGTGGGTGGGAGGGGTGGGGGCATATAATTCTATATCAGTGTAAACATTGCTTCATGTGTGGTGATGATAGGTTAATTTATGAATATTTTAAAAAGCTAAAAAACAAAATATTTCAAAATCATATCTGATTTGAATGATTTCAATTGATTGACTAAGAGACAGAGTAATTTTATCACTGATTATATTAATAAAAGAGAGAAAATCTTTAAGTCTAGCAATTTAATTGGATATCTAGATGATGAAAATTTACTTCTATAATATCGGATCAATACGTTCCAAGGTTTAAGTATTTAGTTAATACTTTATTTTCTACACTTTCGCTTATCGAAGAATAAATTTAAATTAGTACATGTGTTGCATCCTAAGTTTTAGATCAATGTCATAGTTTAATATCATAATAGAGCTTACGGAGATGTTGAGTTTAGGTCTCGTTGTCACTCAATATAAACATTGCATGCATGTACGCTTTATGGAAAAACTAAGTTCGGACTACCTGTCAAAGGATGGAGACTAAATTTAAATAAATTACAGTATAAACTCTCTAATAGTAAGTTTTAGATGTGTTTTGTTTAAAATTCTAACATAAACTCAATGTTTATTTTTCTCATCAAAGACCTATTACATGAAATTTCAGAGGTGATTCGTAAATGCATAACATTAAACACTTCAACTAAAAATTTAAACTTTTATGTAAAATTTACTTTTTATCTTACTTCAACATTATTAAGCTAGCTCCTGCAGCAGCCTTTGCGATATCCACATATCACCTGAAGAATAAAAATACCAAGATTATAAAAGAAATCTTACGTATTTTTGAGTAAAAATTAATTAAGTCCTTATTTGAACCCCATTCTTGTTAAAAAATGTATTTTTGAATAGTATATTGATGAAAAATGTGTGGTTAAAAAAATAAAAAGAAAAAGTCATGAATTTGCTTGTTATATTATTTTATTGAAAAATGTGTGATTGAAGTGGGGTCAAATAACAGTTGAAAAATGTATTTTGGGGAAAAATGGGGCTCAAACAAGGGCTAAATCATTTTTTCCTAATCACTTAAAATTTCTTTTAATTTCAACATATTGAGATAAGTTATTTATGAATAAAAAATAATGTTATCCATTGTAAACTAATTTAATTTCAATTTTGATAAAAAAAAAATTATTCATTTTAAAATTTACTTACAAGTAAAATTAGTAATAACATTTTTATGATAAAGTCAAACATGATGTATACTGACCTGTGAACTCAGACTTGTGGCATTAAACTCTCGAGTCACGGGGTATATATTTAATAAATTGTGGTTTGGTAAGATTCATGCTGTGTAATTGTTCGATTAAATGAATAATTCTGCATCAAATAGAGATGTAAACAATAAAAATAAATAAATGGTTTGGACTATTTTTAATAAGATTGATATTTTAAGAAAATATCCAAGTCTTCGCCCCTGTTTGGTTCCATTAAATATCAAATTTTTAATAGATTTAGATAAAAGTTATTGAAATGTATGGTTAAATTAATTGTGACTTTGACTTAAATTTTAATGAATTTTTTTAGTTAAATCAAGCATGGGCATAGCATGGTACCAGAGTTTGTTAAATTCAATGATCAGTTTGATCCCATGATTTCAATATTCATGTTTCAAACGGGCTACCATATTGTAGAGCATGGAGATGAATAAATTGGAGGGGTTATATTCACCCTTTTTTTTTTTTTAACAAATACGTCACATTTTAATCACAGTAAATACTATTAACCTTTATTCATTATTACACTTATATTCTTTATTTTTTTTCTTTCATCACATTCTTATTTTTAACATTTCATTGGTCGGAAAATCTTGTCCTTAATTATGATTTTTGTCCAAAAATATTGTTAATATACTTATGGGGGGTTAAACATTCAATAATATTTTGCAATATTATTTATTTTGCTTATTTAAAAATAAAATGGGTAAATGAGTTTATTTACTCAATTTTAAAGAAAATTTTGGAGGAAAACCATAATTAAAAACAATTTATGTTAATTTGAGAAAAGAATGCAATGAGAAAATTTTGACACATAAAAATGATAACAAGTAGAGGTTAAAATTCTTTCATATAATTAAAATATAGTCTAATTACTAAAATTATGATGTGAATATAGTTAGCCATAAATTTCACAACGAATGTAAATGTGAATAATGAATAAAATATGAGCATTTGGCTTATTTAAAAATAAAATATAAAGCATATTGTTCATTGTTTGCATCTCTAATTGAGTCTCCAATTGATAAAAAAAAAAAATGTAATAATACTTGGTACATTTAGAAAAAAAGAAGGAAAGGTTGAAAATTAATGTACGAGAGAGAGGAAAAGACGGAAAAAAGCACATCTTAAGGGGCCCTATCATGTTTCCTCAATAGAATGAAGATGTGATCTTCATCTTTCTTCACTGCATCATTTCCATTTTCATTCAGGTTTCTCCCCTTTCTTTTCGAGTCATACCTTGCTGAATAAAAACATGAATTCTTCTGTTGTAGTACAGAAAACTGCGTCAACAGCCATGGAAAATTATGCAGAAGGATCGAAGCGATCTGTCGGCGATCAGCAGCAACCGGTTGTTCTGAGCAGATATGAGTCTCAAAAGCGGAGAGACTGGAACACTTTTGGACAGTACTTAAAGAATCAGAGACCTCCAGTCTCACTTTCACAGTGCAATAGCAACCACGTTCTTGAATTTCTTCGATACCTCGATCAGTTTGGGAAGACTAAGGTTCACTTACATGGTTGTGTATTTTTCGGACAACCTGATCCTCCTGCACCCTGTACTTGTCCTCTTAGACAAGCTTGGGGAAGCCTAGATGCACTTATAGGAAGGCTAAGAGCTGCATATGAAGAACACGGTGGATCACCGGAGAATAATCCGTTTGGCAACGGAGCAATTCGTGTTTTTTTACGCGAAGTGAAGGAGTGTCAATCTAAGGCTAGAGGAATTCCGTATAAGAAGAAAAAGAAGAAGAAAATCAATCCAATCAAGTTGGTGCATGATGAGCTGAAGAATCCAAGGCAGACCACTAATTTTGGCCCCCCTAAGGAGATCGAAATGGTAATTAATTTTAACATAATTCATTTATCATGAACAAACACTTGCATATATAATTTTCTTTTCTTTTTTTGGCAAATTGTTACCATTAGCAGATGAGTCTTTCTAACCCGGGCCACCCTCAAGTGTAAGCGGTCGAATTGAAAGAGTAGCCGGAAATTCACCTTCAAGATATCAAGAAAGTTGCTACTAATTAATTGAACAAACAGTTATACAATCCCATAGGTTTCCAGATTCCAGATGTAATTAATTGATGCGAACACCAGAATATGGAAGAAGAACTGTTAGAAATTAGGTTAATTATCTTAGGTCAGGACTATATGAAAATGTGCCAAGAGTGCTCCTGTCAAGAAACCCTAGATCCAAAAATCAAGAACTCTAATACAGTAGTCACTTTGCTTAAAAATAAACATCTGGTGAGTGATCTGAATTTTAACTAAGAGGAATATCTTTGCTGCCTTGAAGTTCATGTGTTTATGACTGTTTATACTAGGTTCATTACTCTCTCTCTCCTCATCTTTCATATCTTGCAAATACACTGTACACAATTTTTTTCGCATTTTAACTTCTGATAAAATCCCTTTTCTCTTGTTTGTATTGCTTTTATAGGATTCGGGAAGATTTTTTGCTCCCCAAGAATGACCATTTTGCAAAAATTGAGGTATAAATTGGAAAATACAAACTGGTGCGTGCTGTTTTATGTGTATCCTTTTTTCTTTCTTTTGTTTGAAATTATATGTGCATCCTTTTAATTACTTTGAACAATGACAACACCGTACTTCCAACCCAACACCTCATCCATGCATTCAATTCCAAATTGTACCAAATTCTGCCTGCTAGTTTTTCTTCTTATCTTGCTAGCTCTTATTTTTTTATTTTTTTCCAATTGCTTGTCCCAACTCAAGGGGTATACGTGAACTAAGTTGGTTTCCTTGAATGTCCCTATTCATTGGTCTTTTTATTTTGAACGATCAATTCAAGTTATCTTGATAAAGTCTCTTCGATTTGAAGGACATTTTGACCATTCATTTCTTGACGGTGTTTGGTTCTTCTTATGTAACTCTGCCTAGATGTAAGGAACCTAGTTTGTCTGTGAGAGCTAGTTTTGTATTCTTAGCAAAATATTGAGTATAAAATGTGGAGAGTACTTTTATTTCTCTTGAAAAATTAGCTCTATGAAACATTTTTCATTTACCATTTCTTTTACAACATGAAACAAATTTAAACAAAAAAAAAAAAAAACTTGTGAAGTAGGGACATTGAGCATATTTGTGGGTCTATTCCGTCTTAGCTTCTGCGCGCATCCAAAAAAATCGAGAGGAAGAATGCCCAGCCTTGGTTGAGAACATATTGTTTCTTTAAATGGGAGATCTAGAAGTAAGTTCATGAATACCATCAATATATGTGTTCAAGGGAACCAATTCAATTGAGGACAGGTAATTTAGACGGAAACCAAGTAATAGAGCTGGGTTTGCATCTGAGCAGAACCATTTTTAAAGTTTTCAAACATATACATGCACAGTATTAACTTCCACAAGAAGTTAATAACTGATTAATTTATATGCGTCAAAATCAGCTTAACTCTTATCATTTTATGAATTGCTTGAATGTTATTCCTATTAATTGTCATTCCTTTTACAAATAAACAGTCTCTACATAGTTAATATTGTTACATATATAACCTATACTGCATTCTGATGCATTCTTGTTTCTCTGTTTTCTTCTTTTGATTCATAAATTAATTGTCCCAGCTCTGCATGACAAGTGACAGTTTCTTTTGAAGTTATAAGTTGCTGGTTTAATTACTTCAGATTTGATTTCAGAAGTACTTTCTGATTATGATACGTTTCTTTTTACTTTTAAAACATTTAAACTTTGGGAGGATCCTGAAGTCATCCAGCAAATCATAAACTACAGGAGAGAATTTGAAATAGGATTAAAAAACACTTTTAAGTAGCTAAACTTGTAGCTAGCAAAGTTTATCACTAAAAAACCATTTTCCCCCTAACTTATGATGACCTAGTTTCATTTTTATTTCAATCAATTCACATCGCCCATCTCCCTTAAATACACTAACACTTTAAATGGGAGACAAGAAAGTTATGGAAGCAGATCTAAAAAAAAAAAAAAAAAATGTTTATCATATAAAGTGGTAGAGGCATGTCAAGAACAAATCCAAGCCCAAAAGTGAAATATGTTGGGTAGTCTTGAGCCTTCTCAACTCCAAAATCTAGTTCAATAGATTAGGCTTTTCCTCACACTTATAAATTGAACACCAACTCCTTCTACAACTGATGTGAGATAACCTCAACAATCTCTCCCTCAAACATCTGACCGAAGCAACCCGTATCTTCTATGGACTGTTGTGTCGAGACTTGTTGATAACCTAGTCTCTAATATCAGTGTTGGATGGTTTTGGATCTTCTCAATGCCAAAAATTAGTTCAAGATGTGAGACTTTCCCTCACACTTAACTTAAGTTTAGAGGCCAAAGTGAAATCTTAGATGTTTTATGACATAAGTGAAATGTAAGAACTATAGGAGAAGGAAAAGAGAAAAATAAACATATATACTCAATTAACCTCTCACTCCCTCCCTCATTCCCATCAGTTTTGGGTAAGCTTTTGTTTCTACAATCTCATCTACACATTCGAGCGGATGACTAGTAAAAAACTCATTTAACTAAAAAAAAAATTATGGTCATACTTGAATAAGACAACACTGATGACACAAAGATGCTTGTAACATAATTGATCATGTCTAACATCGATCCTGGTTGAGCTGAGGTCACTAATGTCACTGAGCTTAATTGAGACTTCACACTAATTTGTGAGTTTTAAGTGGGTTTTAACTTTCCTTATTATTATTATTTTTCATTAAAAACACGTATAATTGGACATTAATGATGCAAACACAATAAGTCACATATCTTATAGCAATAAATCTACTTGTATAGAAGTGCAATTGCTAGAATTTCACCGGAAGCAGATGTGGCAGCATTTGGTTAGTCTGCTCTTCTTTTTTTTGCCATGTCTAACATAAATCTGTCATGTGTATACTGTAAAGTTCTAGCATAATTTTTCTGTACAAGCAGCAGGTTTGATCTTATAGTGAAGTTTTACTCAGGTTACCTAAATATTTTGTTCCAACTAAGTTATATATATATGTGAATAAAACTTCACTATAAGATATGTGACTCACTATGTTTTTTCTTAACCTCGCTTCATCGAAGGTCACACATTGCTCAATATTGAAGAAATCATATATATCCTTAGTTTTAAATTCTTCGCTTCATTGGAATGACGAGTAATAATTCTACATTCGTGATTCCTTTGCAGGATCAAAAATAACGAGGAGTTCTTAAATTAGACATATAGTCTAATATGTTGAAGTCTAGTTTCTTATAGTAAAATTAGTTGGAATCAAGGCAAGAAACTGTCTTAGAGCAGCTACATTCAGGTTATTTTATCTATTAGATCCATGTGAAGTACAGTGAACTTTTTTGTTTGTGTAATAAGAACAGATATGTGTTAAGTATGCCCGTTATCATACTTGGATCAAGTTATTTTTCTACATTACCTCCCTTAGAGTATTGTTCAGAGTAGAGTTTAATTGTGATTGAACTTCTTGATTAGTACATTAAAATAAACTCTTTGACCATGAAAATTGGTTTTGTGTATGTTCGGTTTTTTAGCTGCATGGTATAATTTGTTTTCACAATTTTGATAGAAAATATTCACAGCCTTAGCTAGTAGGTGTAGGGATGCCTGAAAATAGAATAATGCTATTTGCAGTTGCTCACTACGACAGTCGGCCTACGTAGCATACATATTACAGGTGATTATTTGATGCATTAATGAATAAAAAAATTACCGCATTAATACATCAAATAATCACCTGTCATGTGTATGTCACGTAGGACGATTGTCGCAGTGAGCGACTGCAAATAGCATTGCTCCTGAAAATAAGTAGTGCCTTGGATTAATAAATTTTAGCGAGTAACCAATTTACCATTCTTATCAACCAATTTCTTAAAATGAGAAAGTCTAATGTACCTTTGATAGTAATTATGGATGATAGCTCGTTTGAGCAAATCAATCTAGAAATTTGTGTGGTAAACATTAGAATTTAATAGAATTTGATACAATATTAGAAATTGGGGTTTCATCTTAAAATGTCAACTTTATTTAGAATATTAACTCAAACTTTTATAAATTGGTATATATTTTCATCTTTGTTCAATGAGGGATTTATCCATTGCATGTTATACCTTAGGCACTGTGCTTTCATTTGAAGATTATTGTACTTTGCCATGCTCGTCTTGCTTTTTCGTGATTTCTTGTAGACAGTTGAAAATTTTACACAAATGCTATTTTTTACATACTAACATTTATCACCCATTTTTTGTGGGTTATCATGACGAATTATATATTTTTAATGCAAATGATACAATTTCTAGATAAATAGATGGAATTTTACAGCACGAACAATTCCAACACGCATGTGTGGGCGGATAAGAGTTACAAAACGAAAGTTTACGAGATAATGTTACAAGAGGAATTATCAAAAATGTCATTTTTTTTATAATGCACAAAAAATTTGCACGTGCACATAATTTTATAGAAAATGTCACTTTTTTTGTGAGAAATGTCAAACTTACCCTTCATGTTCTCTTTTTAGGAGCATTTAATGCTAACTTTCCAATCCAATTAATGTTATGATTTGATTAGTTAAATTTATATATTATAATCATTGAATATATTAAAATTATTAAATTTATATATTATAATAATTAGATATATGTATATTCTCCCTTTTTCATGTTTCTAGCAATTGAAGATATTTGACTTTAAATTTTAAAATTTTGATTTTGAAAAGAATATGAATTTTGGGTCGAAATAACAAAAAAAAGAAAAAAAAAGTGGTAAGTTGCCGTCGCCGGCAAGGAGCGCGACAGCGAGCACCACGTCTGCCACAGAGGCAATGGCGCTCGCAACCGCTGCTGAATTGCAGCAGCAGTCGAGCTGCCACTTGTCGTTGTTGGACAGCGGAACAACGGTAGCCTTCGCCACAGGCGTTGACCATTGCAGGCGCTATAAAAGAAAAAAAATTTGTTGTCCAGCAGATTTGAGTGATTGGGCCGCTGCTGAATTGCAGCAGCAGCCAAGCCGCCCCTGTTGGATAGCTATGGCTCTCCGCCATAGATGTCGGCCATTGCCAAAGCTATAAAAGAAAAAAAAAATTGTTATCCAGCAGATTTGGGTGATTTGAGACGGGGCCTGTTGTGCAAATTCATAATTCGCAACCCTTTTTGAAAATTAATATATAAGATATTTAAATAATTCAGAGGGTAAAAAATGTCCTAAGTTGACATTTTTTATAGAAAATTTAAAATGTGACATTTTTGATAATGCACAGCCAAATTTTGACACCCAATGAAATTTCCTAATGTTACAATTGTCATATAATTAAGTTTGGCTGGGTTGGTACTTTTTTAAAATGATTTGCAGCGGACCAAGCACAAATTTCACCTTACGGCTTTTCATTTCTTTTACTTTGGAGGCGTACTTCTTTCAAAAAAAAATTAGAAGTGGCTCGTCACAAATTTAATTTCAAAGAAGGTTGCATTAATTTTGTTATGATCGATAACGTCACATTGAAAATAAAGTTTGTTGATGATAAAAAATGACTTGATAGTTGATACCTTTGATCATCTTTTATGGATTTCCTTTAAGGTTATGACCTGAAAAGCAAAGAAAATATTGAACCTAATCGATTGCTGGCATGATTAGAGATGTTGTTAAGGGGTTAATTACATATTGAATCAAGATGATAATATGAACCAGCGTATAAAGACTTAGACTACTATTTTAATAATGTTGACTTTTCAATATGGGACTTGAAATCTTAATATGGTACATAATACATTAAGCTCAAACAAGCAATTTGATTTGATGAAAACTTAACTGAACACAAGGATTTCAAGATTGGTCCATTTTAAACGAGACACACTTTTACATGGGCATGTTAACGGAAAATTCTACGTCAAATAAACTTGAAGTTTTTAACCAATGTAAAAGTTATTGGATTGCTTATCAAGGTTGACATTTGAAAATGAAACTCCAAGTCTTAATAAACTAATGAAGGCCCTTTGGTGTGTGATTTAGATAACTTAGAACAGAATATATTATGGAACAAATGTCGAAGTAAATGGTGTAAAGTTGTGTACCAATGGAATGGTGAATTCTATACATGCAATATTGCCCTAATCACATCAAGCATTAATAGTAACTGAATATATGTACTTGAGCCACCCATATCTTGCAAAGATTCAGATTGGTTGGGGTGATTGGCTTACATAGGAGCAACATATCCCAAGGCTAATCTTCGGCCATAAGATATGTCATCATATTACTTGATTGGAAGATCTTGGTGATTCCTCAGACAACATACAGAGAAAGCACCTTCCGTGTGATGATTACATCGACTCAAATCATGTCAAGAATAATATTTTTAAATATAAGAAAAGGAGAAGAAACAAAAGAATAGAAGCAAGAACCTGAAGGGAAATTTAAAGGCTTAAATATGTAATCGTTGTACTCAAATGATATTTGTCCCCCCTCAAATTGAATTTGATGCTTAATGGGACTCTTAACAAATGGTTTACAGAATTTATCAAGTTTTGAAAAGGAACAGACATTGAAGCACTAGTAAAATTCCTTCAAAATTCAAGAACACAAAAATAGACTTTTGAGTATGAAAGAAAAGAGTTTTTAAGCTTTCTTGTGCGATGAAATTTGATCTCAAGTGGATTGAATGTGTTTTCTATTAATCATTAATCACATATTTATAGATCTGAATCAATACTATACGAAATGGTGCCAAAATATGATGAAAAAAGACAAATTTTCATCCAAGACGACACTAGGTCTGCAACCGCATAGGTTGTTTTCATGGTAGGGCGAATACGTTATGTGTGCCTATATGCGATCGCATGCCTCCAAGACCTATGGGCTTGCCAATGTTTTTGCCCTCATTCCATTTTTTATTCCACATTTTATTCTATTGATTTTGAACAACAATTTCAACAATCTTCCACTTATTCAATATTCGAAAAACCTTATATTCAAAATTTACAATACCTATGCATAAGGATTATAAATCTTTCAATTTAAGTATAACCGTAGTATAATTCAAACAACGTAAAGTCAAAATTAAAGATAACATGAAAGTTTTGAACCAATACACACACAAGTATCAAGTTTCTCAACTCGCTTAGCTCTAATATGGCATTATGCTAATCCTTTCCAATAAACTTTTAAGAGAGAAATTCTAACTCTTCGTTGAAGCGGCACCACCTCGAAGTTTATCTAGATGAAGTTCTTTTAGTATCTTTATTACTTGTAGATATACTTGTACTTAGTACTGAACTTCATTAAGAGCCAACATTATATAATTAGGATATGATCATCACAAATTTTATAATGCTAAAATTATCCACATATCTAATGACTTGTTGTTACCCTTTGAATCCATATATTACTTGTTAAGTAATAACAAGTAGAGTTGCTATAATTGGTGGATCTTTTAGTTTAAGAGTTTCAACCCCATTAGACTTGAAGTAGATAAGCAGAGATTTAGTTAGAGGATCCACTAAGTTCTCTATTAACTTAACGTAACTTAAAGAAATTATTTCGCTATTGATTAATTTTCTTATGTAGTCATGTTTTAGATTCACATGTCTAGACTTTCCATTGTATATCTCGTTATATGATTTTTTTAATGTGACTTGACTATCACACATGATAGATGTCGAAGAAGTATTCTTCGATCCTAAAGTAATCACATAAAGTAGATCCTTAAGTCATTCAACTTATTTCCTGTAATCTAATAGTGCTATAAATTCAAATGCCTTATTTAAGTGTGTTATACGTGTCTATTTCTTTGATCTTCAAGAAATAGCACCTCCCCCTAGAGTAATTACTCGACTCGAAGTAGAGTTACTCTCACTTGTACTAGATATCCACCTAGCATGAATAAATCATTCTAATATAGCAGGAAAATTTAGTATATTGTTGGCCTAAATTCTTGATTTTTTTAAGTAGCCAAGAATTCTCCCAATGGCCTTTCAATGTAAACATACTAAGTTTACTAATTACAAATGATATATCTAGTCTTGTGCAGTGAACTGCATACATTAGAATCCTTATAGAACTTGCATACTCTAATTAATTGCTTTTTCTTTCATCATTCTTTATAAGTTTTAAACTTGAATCAATAAATGGTACTAAATTCTTTTATGTTTAAATGTTAGAACTTATTAATCACATTCTCAATATAATGTGATTGATTCAAGAAAAAAAATCGATTAGTTTTTGTAACTTTGATACCCAATACGATATCCACTTATCCAAGATTTTTTATCTTAAATGTGGAACATAGAAACCTCTTTGTTTCTTCAATTTCATTCATGTGATTACTCATAATCAACATGTCATCAATATACAAGCAAATAAAGAGTATATATTCATCACACACTTTAAAATATAAGCATTTATTTATACCAGTATTTATGAAA